TACAAAAATCCCCGCAGAGTCGCACTGTTTACATCTTTCCCTTGCAAGAACTGACCATTTAGTTTGCCTTTTGTTTTTAAAGAATTACCACTCTTTAATAGGAAAAAAAGGAGCTTAACCTCTGATCTCCTAGCTTACCTTGGTTTGTCTAGAGGTCCAAGTAAACTGTACCTACAACATCATGCTTGTCCATGGGTTTATTCAGAAATAAATATAGCTACCCTGGTTCACCAAAAGAAAACTAAAATGGGATGGGTAGTCAACATGTGCTGTCAGGACAATTCGGAGTTATTGCTGCCCTTTCCGGGGTTTTCCAGGTAGAGAATACACAGAAGTGATTTACCATTCCCTTCTTCTAGAGTTATCCTAGGACTGTGCACCTTAACTCTGGCCACACAGGCTGGCTCCACAGCCAGATACCTAAACTACTGAGCTATCAGGCAGCATGCATTGCATACATGTTTATTAATACATGAACCCTCGATTTACAGACGGCTCCACTTAACAGACTTAACAGACTTTTCGAGTTACAGACTTCTCTGGCCGCAAAATTTAGGTTTGACTTGCAGCCGGAGAATCGACCTACAGACTGGGGAAAAAACCAAAGTGGAACAAAAACGGCCGGTTACGGATTACTGTAATCGGTTTTCAATGTATTGTACGTAAGTCAACCTACAGACTTTACGACCTGCAGCCACCGTTCCAATACGAATTAATTCCATAAGTTGAGGGTCCATGGTACACACAAGCATTTCTTGAACCCATGTTAATATATATATATTTTTAGTCAAGTTGACCCTTGTGTGTGCTTGGCAATTTTATGTTTAATTCTTTTCACAATTGTATGTTTATTGCTTCATTAGATGTTAAACCAAACAGCCTGTCACTTCCTTCACCCTAATCACTTGTCAACAGTTGATATTAAATAGGTGGCTCGCTAATCATCTGACAAAGCGCTGTTAAAATAAATTGAGATTGGTAGTATATGGTAACTTCCACATAGTAGAAGAGCAAGAATTCAAATTAAATCGAAAGACATTCTGTATTGTTTTAGAATGTTGATTTAAAAGAAAGCCAAAAAGCAAGTAAAATGTTCTCTTCCCAGGATCTCTTCTGATTTTTTTTAAAAGAAGAGAAACAGACACATAGATTTTAACATGATAGTCCCTCAAATGTTCCTGAAGTGTTCATTTAGAGAAAGCTGTTCCATAGACATTCAGCTTAGAGTAGGTGGTCATTAGCCTAGTCGACTGCAGTTTAAGTCAAAGGTTTTAGCTGCTGTTGCCACAGGCAGCCAGTCAAGGATTTCTGAATAACGCTTATATACGTGCAGCCTCAATCTTATGTGGAGAGAATATGAATCACCAGTTGGGCTATTTTGAACAATGTACGTATCACACATCCCAGATCTAGGTTCTTTAAATTTGCAAGTTATGGGTGGAGGCAGCTTTGAAAGGAATAAAATGTACAGATTTTAGCGTCCACGTGATAGTCAAGTTACTATTAGCACTAGTGCTGGACTCCTGCTCCACAATCCACTTATGGCTTCAAAAAGTGTGCATGGGTGTCTGTTGTACAGTGTGTGTGTGCACTACAGGTGTGTGTATTTCTGTTTTTGGATAATGACTCCCAAAATTCCCCATGCTGCCTGGGAGCTCTGGGAGTTGTAGTCCAAAAACACAAATATACTCACCTGTAGTGAACACGCCCTGTACAGCAGACACCCTGATGCTCATTTGGCAGTCATCCTTAATTATCAGTTGCTTTGTTCCAAGTTACTGCTTTGCGAAGTGTACCAGGGGCAGTTCCTCCTCTTAGGGGAAGCAGTGGTGTGGTAAGGTGGTAAATTTGAAAGGCATGCACTCATGAGGCCAGTCCCCGTAGCCACACACCCAAGAATAGTCTAGAAATGCGGGCAGGTGGATTGGTACATTGTGACAAACCAGTTCTGGCAGTTCTCATTTCCAGACAAAACAGGCCCTTTGTTGTAAGACCTGTGAGCCTTAGTTGTCTATTTAAGATCAAACCACCCCAAAGTATTTTGTGTTTCAAGAGGAATAGTTCACAACATTATATTGTTTCAGAGAAAGTCCATTTCCCCTTCATCTGCTATAAGGAATGCAGCTAAGAACTCATAAGGAACAGAAAGCTTGAAGGGGTCAGTAGATGACATTGGCCCTTGCTTGCCTGGGTGCTCTGACCTTCATGGCTTGGACCCATTGTTTCACTTAGCATGAGGCTGGTATCATCTTTAGTGGGGAGCTTAATAGGCATTCTGTGCAGTCATTCACTGCCCTCAGACAGTTGGCAAGGTAGAGGCCAAAGTAGGCTTCCCGGTTTGCCCTCATGTCAAATGGTTATCCACAACATTACAGGCTTATACCACCTTGGTGCATAGCATGTGTGTCCTCCTTTTTTTTGCATCTCTCTGCTCCCTTCTTCTGCATCCCCTTTGGCAGGTGGCAACAATGCCGTTCACTCCCTGAGGTAAATAAGACAGAGTTGCATCCCAAGGTGTGTGCTGTTGGTGTGCGTGCAGCCTTTCTTACTGCCAGTGGTATGTGTATTTTTAGGCTTTCTGAGAATGGGCTGGAAATGAGTTTCTTTTCAGAAGTGATTTTGTTATCTTGCGTTATGTTTCAAAACCTCGTTCTTCCTCTCTTAGTTGCCCTGAGGTTTTTCAGCTTTAATAAAGGAGCTATATTTAAAAGTTCTCCTCAGTGTTCCTAGTTGTTAGCTTTTTCCTCTCATGCCCTCAGCAGTGGTGCCTTGTAGACGGGCCTCTTTCTGACTTCTTTCGGAAATACTGCTCCTGTCCCTTTTTGCCCCTTTTCATTATGTGTGTACAGGCAGTTCCATTTAGGCAGTTGCTTCTTTTTCTCAACTTGCCTTTCCCAGCTTTAGTCTCTCTTCATGGGTCTCAGAAGTATAAAGTCGTACAGATTTGCAATCTATAGTTATAAACTTCTGCCTGAATTTCTTCTCTTCCCACCTCATTTAATTTTTTTTTCCAGAAAAACTTCACGCAGGAAAAAGTGAGAGCACTGGGATTCTGCTGTGTTGGTTAATTAGTTTTTGAGGAGAGAACAGAGAATCTGTCCTTTTAAAACTTAGTCCTAAGAAGGGAATTGGTGTCCCTGGCATTTTTCAGACTCATGTAAGTTGTAACAAGAAAGAGAGAGGTCTTTACCCTGAAGAGCCTTCAAGTCTAAATTGAAACAAGAGGCAGTGTATTCCAGCATGTTAATGGCTAGGCAGTGCACCACAAGCCACTAAACAGTTTCCAGATACTGATACAGTACTGCGATAAAACAATAAAGATATGAATAAGTACTATTTAAAATATTTTGATATAAAACTTTCCAAAAATAGTCTAAGTGTATTGCTGAAAACAGCAATGTCGGAGGTTGAGCTATGGTTATCATATTAAAAGTTGTTGGCGGCCCCCACTTCACTGTTCTTTGCTTATTCTCTGTTTTGCAACCAGAAAGACCGACAGTTTGTAGTGTTTGTATTTTCCTCCAAAACAAACAAGCAAGAACAAGCACAAGCTTTAAATACTTTATAAAACAGGTCTCCAAAGGCTGACTTTATCAGCTGTCAAGGGCTGGTTCTTGCATGCATCTGTGCAGCTTAGTCCCTTTTTGCTTGAGCAATCTCATTTGGATTTAGAGATTGTTTCCCTTGAAAACTGGAATCGGCATCTGGTGCCACTGAAAATGACTTTCTCTGCTGACTTTTTTGAGTTCCATATGCAAGTCATCACTTGATAGTGCTGCGTGCCTTGCATATTAAGCATATCTGCAAATGGTCCTCAGACTATGGTCTGAGGATCTAAACCCTTAAACTCTATCCATTGTGACCTGTTCACTATGTCCTTCCCCACTGTAATGACTGGTGGTGACATTTGGCCTCCAGGAACAGCAGCAGTATAGTGACAAAGATCCAAAAGTAAAAATTATGAAAGGTTAGGGTGGGCTGTGGTTTGGGGAAATGTATTGAACTAGATAGAGGATAGGCATACCTTTTGACTCTTGTGACCATCATCAGTGCACCACTTTCTATAAACACCAAAGCAATCATGCTATACTTTGAGAACATGCTATGTTGCTGTTGGAAAAGCTACCTGGAATTACGTAAAAACTGTAAGATCTCTCTGTATGTGATCTGATGTAAATGTTCCTAGCACAACTTTCAGTATGCAAAGTATTTAGAATTCTTATATCCATATATATTATCCCACCCATCTGGTATATTCTACCACTTTGGGCGGCTAGTGCTAGAGGGGTCATACTGTGCTGGGATTTCAGCAAAGTCATGTGTAGCTTGCAAAGTCATATTTAATATAGTTTATTTTCACAGTGCAGAAGAAAATTATGCTTATTGCTTCTCTTAGTATGCAGCTTATTGCATCATCTTTAGTACATAATTTGTTGTGTGAGACTAATGCCACTGTGCATTCTCCCTCTTAAAGATTTCCTTACCAAGCCCCCCCCCTTTCTTGGTGCCCAAAATGATTACACTTCCCCCATTGTTTAACATTTACCAATGCTTTGTGTTTCATTGCAATATTTCAACTGAGAGGAAAAATTAATGCCAGAGGCAAGCTTTAACGAGAGCGTGAGATATTTATGTTCATAGGTTAATGGGTTTTTTTAAAAAAAAAGCTTGAGAACCAGTGATTTAACAAGTTATCCTTGTTACCCTTGTTCATGAGCTGAGCAAAAGTGATATAGGAGGCGGCTGTGTGGTGTCACTTCTAATATGGAGAGTTCCTTTTGTGGGTTGAGGTGGGGAGGCCCTAACTACTGGGTGCAGGTTTGGTTGCAAATGGAAAGAAATGATGAGCGCCTGTTGACAGAGCACAACCTTAGGAGTTTCTTAGAGCACCCAGGCTTGTCCATTGTCTTGAACTGGATAATGGGGGGGGGGACACCTTAACAGTTAGCGTAAATCATGGTGGTTCTACTCTAATCATGGTGGTTGTTCTTGCAGAGCAGCCATGGATGTGATGAATATGATGGAACAACCCATCAAAGTGACAGAATGGCAGCAGACTTACACTTATGACTCTGGCATCCATTCCGGGATGAACACCCAGGTGCCGTCAGTCAGCAGCAAGTGCTTGGTGGATGATGATGATCTCTATGGAAAGCAGTACACTATTAAGAAGACCACCACTTACAGCCAGTCTGGAGCAGGGCAGGCTCAGGCTCAAGTCCAGGCTCAAGGTAACTTTTAATAATATTTATTCCTCATGTAACCTATCCTTATTATGTGATGGAAATCAGTGGGAAATTTATAATGTAGGAATAACGTAGGAAGTCTTGCATCAAACCACTGACCTGATCTAAACCTAGTTAGCTGTAGCAAAGGTGCTGCACTGTGAGCCTCAGAGTATAACCTGGCTTGAAGGCACGGGATGCTACAGTGTTAGATATTACTATTTCACCCTATTGAATCTAGGGTAGTTAATAGTGGAGATGTAAGATAAAAGTATTAATAATTACCTCCACAGTAAAAGAAAAAAAAAAGAAGTGGAAACATTTTTGTATTATAAGCTCTTCGGCACTGGAACCCATTTCTTTCTTGCTTTTGTTGGTTCAGTTGTTTAAAAGAGTACTATTACTATTTCCAAATATATTGCAGAATACTGTCTGTTCATTCTTCCTTAGGGAAGAAAAAGGGAAGAACGTTAGCTTGGCAGGACTGCTTAGGAAGGGACATTCCGTGAATGGGTGGAACAGCTTAAAAAGCTGTGCTCCTCTGAAATGCCAAACAACTGCAGAAAGTATAAGGTGGGAGTGGAGATAATATGAAGAATGCAATTTGTAAGGTAGTTCTCTCTGTTCTTTTCACACCGGGACCTACCTGTAAGCCAAACATAAATCAGAGGATACTGCTTACTCCCCCCACAACACACCATCGTTTTAATATTATATATTAAATAATCACGCACCATCAAGTCAGTTCTGACTTATGGTGACCTTTTTCAGGGTTTTCTAGGTAGATAGTACTCAGACGTGGTTTGCCATTCCCTTCTTTTGGGGGTGCCCTGGCAGTGGGCAGCTTGCCCAAGGCCACATAGGCTAGCTCTACGTGCAGGAGCTGCAGTGGAGAATTGAACTCCCAACCTCTGGCTCCACAGCCAGATACCTAAGCCGCTGAGCTATCCAGCGAAATTTATGTTGTATGTTAAAGTACTCATACTTAGCGCTACATCTGAAGATCACAAGAGGAGAAACAATCAGTAATTTTAAGCAGTTCAAAACAGTATATAAAAGAGTTCATCAAAGTAAAAGCTAAGCCACAAATCTAATAGACTGAAAACCATGGGAATTGGCCTCAACGAGGCCATTTTACATATCAGTTGGTCCTCCAAGGGGAGGGCATTCCATACCTGGGTGCTACAGCCGAGAAGGTCCCCTCCTGTGTATTGTGTACTTTTCCCAACAAAGGGACAAAAAGGAGCCCCCTCCTTATAGATCATATTAACATAGCTATATTGAGGAAGAGGTACTACTTCAGTTATCTAGGTGTGGTGGTCTTTCTGCTATTGTGAGCTACTGAGATCAGTGATGCTGTGAATTCAGTAACTCAGTAACAGCTCCCAGAGCTTGTCTTTTAGAAAAGCAAACAAAAGTTGTCCACCTTACCCCCTCCTGTCTCTTCCCACTTTCAGGATAATTTTTTAAATTTGTTTTTTTTAACTGACGGAGCCTATCTGTGCTGCCCTTATACAATTTAAATATTCTCTTCCTCCTCCTCCTCTTCTTCTTCTTCTTCTTCTCTCTCTCTCTCTCTCTCTCTCTCTCTCTCTCGCACACACACACACACACACACACACACACAGAGAGAGAGAGAGAGAGCGCTGAGGAAGTTTTCAATCTGCTGGTATCCTGAAGTGACTGACTCTCATCTGAAGCCAGTTCACAATATTGGCAATTAACAGGAAGCCTCATTCGCTTTTGGTTTGTTTTCAATGACCATACATGCTTGAAACTGCCCCAAAAGAGAGCGATCCTTCCCATTTTGAAAAAGTAGAAGCCCCATGACAGGGGTTAGAAAGGTGCAGTAGGACCACTTGGGGGGTGGGTTGGTTCACTCCAGCAAAGCCGTCTGATCACCATCTTTAGGAGCAGACCATCCCATCCCTGCGGCAGACCAAACAGAGAGCTAAATAAAGACCTGTGCAGTCAGCCTCCCAGTCTGCCCCGTTAAAGAGAAGTTTCCTTAACAGCCTGGATTCAGGCTGTTTAATGCTTTAAAGGTTCAAATCAACACCTTTGACATCATCAGTAAACCCAAGAGTCAATGCGTCAGAGTTTTTCAGATAATTTTTAATCTTTCATGAATGACAGCATAGCTATTTTTGTGTGATCACTTGCTTATAGCACTGAAATACATGAGATCCCGTGATAGAAGCTGGTTGAGCTGGTTCCTATGCTGTAGCTGACATGGAAAGCAAGCAGACAAGCAAGCATGCATATTGCCTCCCTCAAATGATCTGGTAGCGTCTGAATGGAGGACAATGTGGCAAGTGACCAAGCCTGTAGTGTAAGAACCAACCTGCAGTCTTAAGAATTAGGGGATCTGTGTTCAGATCCAAACTCAGCCATGGTATGTTCTGGGAGGCAAATCACTTTAGTTTCCAGTGGTAAAATAAAAAGGATACCTCAAGGTAAAATTAAAGATAAATTGCACAAGATAGGTCCTTCACACAAAGGTGGTTTCATAATTGACCCAGAGATGTTCATCTTTCACATGCTTCCTTTTTTGACTTACTGCTTTGTGACATGGGAGTTGGCAACTTGGAAAGCAAATAAGAATCCCTGTCCATCAAAAGAATAAGAGACTATTGAGAGATATGGCAGAAGGCAGAGAGAGTATAAGAATGGTTCTCTGTGAAGGGCAAACATCACTGCAGAGACATGCACATTTTTGCCAAGGGATAATTAAATCCTGTGGAAAAGGAGCAGGGAATGCACAGGCATTGTCCTCTGCCTTCTTAGGGGGCAGATAAATACAAGAGAAACCCTGATTCTAGGGTGCTGAAAAAATATACTAAGTAGGGCTGGGAGAGACAACAAAAACCCATTTTACTGTGATTCTCACCACTATACACCAATTCATGCTGCTAGAATCATTTAGCCACTGAAGTCTCCATCCATCCATATATGTAGTTGCTTGCATATATGTAGATATATTCTAGCCCTTTATACAAGCCCGTTCCCCATTTTGCATCTCCCTTTCATGTTTTTTAATTAAGCAGCTTTGTGTTTCAACTGCCTAATCGGGCTGGCTAATTAACTCCTGCCTTATCTCTTTGCTCACATGTTAAGTCTCTTGGACCTTGTAGAGCTGAAACAGTTCTATGAACCTCCCAGTGTGGCTGACAGAAATCCTGGCTGGGATTTCCTCTTGGTTAATCCTGTCCTACCCACCTCTTTTGCAGCGGAACTGGAGTCCCAGCTTGCCATGACCCGTGCTCAGCGCATTCGGGCTGCCATGTACCCAGAGACGGTGGAAGACCGCTCCCTTCTCGTCACCACCCAAGTTGAGGGACAGCAAACAAATGTGCAGCGGCTGGCTGAGCCCTCTCAGATGCTTAAGTCAGCCATTGTGCATCTCATCAACTACCAGGATGATGCTGAACTGGCCACTCGTGCTATCCCAGAACTCACCAAACTCTTGAATGATGAGGATCCGGTAGGGCAACATATTTGGGCTTGTGATCTATTGTAAGAAATCTGTGGAATAGGCTGGGACTGGTTTCCTCAGCACCGTGTTGTCTGGAGCATAGCTGAAATGTCCAGCAATGTCATGTGTAGAACTGTGTTTTTGTTGAAATTGTTTGAGAGGTTGTACACACAGTGGTTCAAACATAGTATTAAAAAAAAACCACGAAGTGTGAATGGTAGTCTCCTTTGTGTGTCCCAGTAGATGAACAAATAAAATTCATTTAGTCTTGGTAAAACTTTAAAGAACATTTACTGTTTAAAATATGTGGAAGAATAAACTAACAGTGCTTATAACCGTTTCATAATACAGTATATTCTTATCAGACATAGTCAGATCATAGGCATCCTTCAGTCTCGAGAGACTATGGTAATGTGCTTTGTATGTATGCAAAGCTGGATTGTCCCCTCCAGAGCACGAAGCCTGAGTAAAATAATATGGAGGATAAGCTGTTACCCAAGCAGCAAATCCCCGCTCTCCACATCACTGAAATAGTCCAATGGAAGGGCAAGAGCCAATACAACTGGTTCCAGTGATGTCACAGGAGTTGCCAGAACGACACGAACTGCCTCCGGGACTCCGGCCCTGGATTTTGCCTCGAGGTTAACTCCTGAAGCCTTTTCCATCAGTGGATATAGCCACAAGGCAGTGGAGGTTTGAAACTGGAGATTTCCTTCTCCTAGATGGGCTGCCTTCCCAGGCTGATGAGTCCCACCTACCCGGATCAGACATAGTAACAAGTTATTAGGCCAACATAACAAGCAGACTAAACAGACTAGACTCAGACTAAAATTCATTCTGTCACTTCTTTTTCTATCTGGCAGTTAACCCCACCCACTTAACACCCACTGGCTAACACCAGACAGAATCTGATTGGTTACATAAGTGTCATTGTGCAAACAACAGATCCCAGTCATTCCCATACACATGCAAGGGCTTTCTGATGAAAATAGGGAACCCACAGAAGCTGATGGATATGAAATTCACTAGCCATAGAGTCAGCCCTTTGGGTCCTCGTGTGGTCTTGACCAGAGTTGAAATAAACTTCCTGGATGACAACTTCCAGAATCCACCAGCCACCATGGTCCCTTGCTATGATAGCTAGGGCAGTGGTTTGCAACTTTAGGTTCCCCAGATGTTCTTGGACTTCAACTCTCCACAACTAGTGATGAAGGCTTCTGGTAGTTTTAGTCCAAGAACATCTGGGGACCCAAAGTTGGGAACCAATTAAGGTAAAGGATGTAGGCAGGTGTGGTCCAAAAAGGATGCTTTTCAAACTGCCCTTATCTGTGAAATGGAAACATGGGGGACTTGGCCCACAGAATTGGGAGATTCTGGGAGGTATAGTCAGAATTTTTTCCCCAAGTTCTTCTTTTGATTCTTCTCTGTGAGTCATGGACAAGGATTAAATAGGGTGAATCAAAATTAGCAAAGTAGAGCTAATTGTGCAACGTAGAACTAATATAGAGCACAGAATTGGGCTGTTTTCATCACACAGAAGTTTGGTGTGTTTAGTGCAAAAGATCGACAGGCAGATTACTTGTCCTTGGAAAGATGCAAAGAGGAGCATATTAGAGCTGAATGTCCTACAGAAGGCCTTTGCTCTTCCGTTTTATAAGCAACTTGCCAGTAACCTTCATTCCTTCTAGGTGGTGGTCACCAAAGCGGCTATGATTGTGAACCAGCTGTCCAAGAAGGAGGCTTCACGCCGTGCGCTGATGCAGTCTCCTCAGATCGTGGCTGCTGTGGTCCGCACCATGCAAAACACCAGCGACTTAGATACAGCCCGCTGCACTACCAGCATCCTCCACAACTTGTCCCACCATCGTGAGGGTCTCCTGTCCATCTTTAAATCTGGAGGCATCCCGGCTCTTGTGCGCATGCTCAGGTAAATTCTACAGTTCTTGGCACACCTGAGTTTTGGCAATGGTGGAGTCAGCGCTCCCTTGGTTCTTTCATTCATTTGTTTATTGAGTCAGATTAGGCAAGCCCAGTTCAGCCTTTATTTCTTTTGATTTTTTTCTTTGAAACAGTTATGCACGGATACCACCCTTATCAGATTCCTTTACAGTGTACAACAATATGATGTTGTTTAAAACCTAATACAATAAAATACTATCATTGAACAGCTGAAATAAAAGACAGTGCAGTGAATTAACATTTTTTGAGACAAAGGATTTTACAGTTATAGTACTTTTAATAGTGCTTTTAAAATACACTGTAATTATTTCTTTTTTAATAAAATAAAATGCCTGGGTTTAAAATTAGAAGGATTGTAAAGTAAGAACAAGGCTCTAATGACTATTAATGGGAAGATCATTCCAAGTCTGGAAACCACCAGTATGAAGGCCCTCTCTCTTGTGACTAAGAAACAACTGGAAATAGGCTTCAAGTTGTTTCTTAGGTTAAGTAGGTTAGGGTTAGGGTTAGGGTTAGGCTTCTTTGTAAGCCGCCCCAAGTAGACTCTGTCTAGAGGGGCAGGGTATAAATCGAATAATAAATAAAAATAAATAAATAAATCTAAAGATGTTAAAACATGGCAACAAGAAATTGCCTTTTCACTTTTGGCTAGAGGCCAGGATCCTTTTCACTTACTGTCACATCAGGGCAGTTACATGTGTCTTTTCCCTTTCAACAAGCCTTCTTTGTATCCCCTGGCTCATACTGGTGGTGAAATTGGGTGTGCAACTAGATGTACAACCAGTTGTGTGAAGAGCAGGCTAAGGATGGATATGATCACTCTGAATGCCCTCCCATGCAAGTTTTTCTCTAAATGGATTTTGGCCCAGGACTTCTAAAAAAAATAAAGGTCCAAAAATTGTCTGGAGATTTTCCTCCCTTGAAAGAAATTATCCCAAAAGGTCCTATGAATGGAACAAAGCAATGAAGAAAACATCCAAGAGTTAAATCCACAGTGCTTTAATTCACAGTGTGCTAGATGGCTTAAAGGGTATCCTGTACATACTCAGATGTACTCTCAAATACTGCATAACATGTTGGTAATTTCTGAAAAAGAGATTACTGTATCAAATTCTCACAGCTGAATTTTTTAAGGCCCTGGCTATTTCTCCAGAAATACCATTGTCACAGCTAGCCCAGCCCTCCTCCCTGACTTCAAATATCCACTTGGGCATGGAAACCCGCTGGGGAGTGATCATAGTAAAGCATTCCTCAAATGCCTCTTATCCCTTAAAACCTCTGTTAAAGTCCAAAAAGTTGGCTTGCCAAATTCTGGTTGATAAGACATGGAAAGTTTAATTCTCTGTTAAACCTTTAGAATTTCACATAGGTTAAGTATCACCGCTGTTTTGTTACTTTCCTCAGTGGCAACTTGAGTGAAACTGGCAGGGGCCCATGATGCTTTTGCATCCAGGATGTAAGAAAAGAACCAAAGGAAAAGAAACCCAGTTTTCTGAAGGGCCCCCAGCTGAGCTCAACCATCATTGCCCCATTTTGGAGTGGTTTTACTCTACTTGATCCCTTAGTACCTTTTAGACTAAAAAATTGAGCCCAGACTCTACTCTGGATCCTGCCATTGAGTGGCATCAAGGTTCCGACTTGGGAGTACTTTGAAGTGCTCTCATAACCATCCCAGATATTCTGGCACATTCACACTCGGTGCCAGCTGCTCCCTCACTTGTTCTAGGAGCTGCTTCTGTTCCTTTGCCATGCAAATCTTGCTGGGTGTTTCAGCTGCAGTGGCGATTTGCCAGCGGCAGATCCACACCTGTGTGGCACAGAATGGAGCTGATGAGCCGCTGTCTTAATATGGAGGCGCCTAGCTTTGCTTTTGGAGATTCAAGTTTAAGCATGCCACTGCCAAGTCCTGCTCCTTCCGACAAGCTTAAAACCCCTGTAATTTATAGAGAACCGTCTCTTTGGTTTGTTTGCTCCACTGGAACCACCATGGGTGCTTGATGACTGAATAGAGCATTTATCAGAAAAAAGCAAATAGCCGCCTGTCCCATCTCCAAGTGTAAGGGTCAGGGCAAGTCCTGTCCGTATAGGAGGATCCAGGCTCCTTAATCCTATCTCTTTAAAAAATGCCCTGTTATGAGTTATATACTGTGCCAAGCTTTAACATCCTTATTCTCTCTCATTGGGAGAACGTGTAATCACTGAGTCAGACAATTTTGTGTGAAGGATGCCCTGCTGTGGTGCATTTTGTATTTATAGAAAAGAAATAATGTTCTTCTCTTGTAATAGTAGAAATCTGATCCCTCCTGCATTTTCCTCTCCCATCCATTGGCATATAGTTCTCCTGTGGAATCGGTCCTGTTTTATGCCATCACCACTCTTCACAACCTGTTGCTGTACCAGGAAGGTGCCAAGATGGCGGTCCGCCTGGCCGATGGGCTTCAGAAGATGGTGCCCTTGCTGACCAAAAATAACCCGAAGTTCCTTGCCATCACCACTGACTGCCTGCAACTGCTTGCCTATGGGAACCAGGAAAGCAAGGTAAAAGAGAGGGGAGCCAGGCCATAAAACTGAAAATGCTACGTGTGGGGTAAGCAGAGAGGCTTTGGGGCCCTGTAATTGAAAAGCTCTCTTTGTTCTCAAACCAGTGGGAAGTTTGCTTATTGCAAAATGTGTATGTTAGTTGTTCCTCACTTGCAGGTTTTTTTGCAGTTTGGTTGTAACAGTGCCTGCTTTGTCATTTTGCCTTTTGTAGTGAGCAGGTACTCCCTATTTTTCCTTCATCTTATGAGAGAAAGTTTTATTTTGGGAAAGGAGAGGATGAAATCAGATGTGGGGAAGATATGCACTGAGCTTTAGGGAAACTGTTTAGCAGACAGATGTGAGGGCGAGAGGCATCGTAGCCTGGGAGGTGGTAAAGCATTGGGTTGGATCCAGTCCTAAGGCACACTTCAGATAGGACCAGTGAAATCCAGTGGGATGCACTGGCCTGCACTAACTTTCCCATCAATTGCAGTGGTCTCCTCAAAGCGTGAATGAAGTCCGGATCCGACCGGTTGCTATATGTGTTTGCTTTCTCAGCTCATCATCTTGGCCAATGGAGGGCCCCAAGCTTTGGTTCAGATTATGCGTAGCTACACATATGAGAAACTGCTGTGGACCACCAGCCGTGTCCTCAAGGTTCTGTCTGTTTGTCCTAGCAACAAGCCAGCCATCGTGGAAGCGGGTGAGTGACCAAAATGGAAGGATTCTTAACTAGAGCCTTCACAGGATACAGTAGATCACCTGCCACCAATGGCTTTGCTATTTTAAGATGTCATTTATCAAAGTGGTTGAAAACTGGGTTCTGTAGTGGTGATCAGCCTCTTCATTAAATGTAGAAAGAACAGCTGCCCAGATTTCTAGGTGGAGGTATGCAAATTGGGTGCCTGGCTATTTCTTTAAACACAAGAAATGCTTAATGAGCCTGCTTGCATGTTAAGATCATCTGGAGAGGCCTTTTTTTCTTGGTCCTGCCACCCTGACAGGTGCATTTGGTGGGGGCACAGGAGAGGGCCTTCTCTGTGGCTGCCCCCGGATGACCGGCCTTACCTTTGCTGTCCTTCCACAAATAGGCAAAGACCGTTCTCTCCAGGCAGGCTTAAGGAAAACTGGTGGTCTAAGTGGGGTTTTTAAATGGATGATTGTGCCTTTCTGCTTTGTGTTTTTAGTATTTTGTTTACCATTTCTCAGAGTGGTATTTGTATACTAATTTTTTTAAGCTTTAAATATTGTCCTTCAATGATGTAAGCCACCTTGGGTACTTTTTAAGGAGTAAGGTGGGGTAAAAACAAACAAACAAATTAAAAAAGTATTCGTTGTAGTGAAAAGGCTGGAGTTCAGAGTACACGAGTGGTTACACTGTGCTCTCTCCCAAAGGCTCCAAGCAATCTTCATGAGGTCTAATTCAGGCAAAGATAGGGTATGAATCCTTCTAAGCTCCACTGTTGCTGCAGAGTTAATACTACACCAATAGATGCAATTAATTTGTAGTAGGATAATTAATTCATGTACAATTAATAGCCATGTGCCCTGTTCCTTGCTTGCAAAAGTCATTGTATCGTGCTCCAGTGATTTGGACTTGAGCCCAGATCTTCTAGTTCTGTCTTTGTCATACACATTAGATTATAAGCCTGTGCATAGAGTCTAGCTGTTGCATTTGACAGTTCACTTTCTTGACTCTCCGACCTAATACATATGAAATATTTTAGATAGTTTTCCAAATATACTCAATCCATAGGGTCCCTTCAGCTCTGCAGTTCTAAGATGATGATGATGTTGCTTTATTAATGTTAATGTGGGGAAAAAAATCCAACACAGGATGTAAAGGTGATGTTTTCTGTCATCAGGAAAAACTTTAATTAGAGTTATCGGGCTACACCTCTCTCATGTCAGAACTTGTCTTGCTGGTTTATGCTCTTACAAAATGGCAGTGTTGATGATTATACTGTCAACTGCCATTCAGTTTTTTTCATGGAAGAAATGCAGAATCTACCTTTTAGATTAAACTAAACTTCTGGTTATATGTTGATGATGATGGTTGAGGATTGTTGACGCCATCCATTGCTCTCCAGATAGTTTGGAATCATGATTTCCATCATCTCCAGCTAGGAGGACTACATTGAATGGGGATGGTGGACATTGTAGTCAACACATTGATTGGCACCAGGTTAGAGAAGGCTGGTCTACTCTGCCTTGGATTATTTCAACACCATCTTTTTCCTGCCCAAGAAAAACAGGGTAGAACAATAACTATGGATTTATGTTTTGTCTCCCCCTCCTCACAGGTGGCATGCAAGCCCTGGGAAAGCACCTGACCAGCTCCAGTCCAAGGCTTGTGCAGAACTGCTTGTGGACTCTGAGGAACCTGTCTGACGTGGCCACAAAGCAGGTGAGCAATATCTTTTCCACAGTCCTTTGCACTTGAACCATCCCTGAACCTCACCCAGTATATTAGTGCATAATTAGTATAGGCAACTGGCAGCTAGTTTTGAGGGAGGACCAGTTTTAGTTTGATTGGAAAGGTGGTGGGTGGGTGGTAGTGCATGTCTCTGCTGCTCAACTGTGGTGCATTGCAGGCAAGGTCTGCCATTGAACCTCCTGTGACCCTTCGCTTTGTTTCTAGGTTTGCCAATGAGAGCTAAATGCCATTGCTTTGAGGTCAGATTCGGTCCAGGGACTTCCAGCTGATGACTCATACATATATATATATATATATACCCGTATAGACTCCGCTGCTGATTGGGATACAGCTCTTGGGTGTATCAGATGCCTCATGAACTCTGTGCTCTATCCCATTTTCTATCCAGGAGGGACTCGATGGTGTCCTGAAGATTCTGGTCAACCAGCTGAGTTCAGATGATATCAATGTGCTGACTTGTGCCACAGGCACCCTCTCCAACCTGACTTGCAACAATAGCAAGAACAAAACGCTGGTAACTCAGTCAAACGGGGTGGAAGCCCTGATACACACCATCCTCCGGGCAGGAGACAAAGAAGACATCACTGAGCCAGCAGTCTGTGCTCTAAGGCACCTCACCAGTCGGCACCCTGAGGCTGAGATGGCCCAGAACTCTGTGAGGCTCAACTATGGCATCCCTGCCATTGTTAAGCTGCTTAACCAGCCCAATCAGTGGCCGTTGATCAAGGTATGGGTTCAGGGAGGCAACAGCTGGGCCTTTGGGTTCTAAGTAGTGGAATCTGAATGGGTGTGCTTGGAGAAGAGTGCGGAGTGGATGGGAACCATGGAGGCAGTCTGTGGAACTCGCGGACATCTGTATCGTGGAGTGGCATAAGGGTTCAGTACAGGAGCCATGAGATGGGTTGTCTTCCATTTCTAACCACAGTTCTGCTGTGAAAATCATTCAACCTTAAGCATGTCCCTCTTTTCCTTTCTCATACCTTTGTCTGTTGTTTGGGGTGATTAACAATCCCAGCTAACATTGCATGCCTATTCTATGCAGTGCTAATTAATTTATTTATGTATATATTTATTTAAAATATTTTCACCCTGCCCATCTTCTAAATAAGGACCCAAGGTGGTTTACATACTTAAAAATGTTAAATATTGAAACCTGAAAACAATAAATTATACAAATAGTAAACACAAAATAGTGACATTACGTTAAAAATGTTTGGTAAAAGCATTGCAAAGACAGACTTAGAAGCAAATCATCCCGTTCATTATCTCCTAGATAGTCAGTTTTGGTCCTCCAGATGTTTTGCTTTTCAATTCCCATTAGCGTATGCTAATCAGTTGTGAGAGTTGTAGATGAAAACATCTGGAACACCAAAAGTTCTCCATTCCAGACTTAGTTAATATATGTTAAGTTCTTGGAGCATTCAGTGCTTTTTTCCTGTATTGGGGATGGTGGTGGTGGTTTATGAGAACATTATCCACAAGGCACAGGGTGTCTTGTTGCAAATAGGAGATTGAACTCATCTCTTGGAACAGCATGAAAGTGAACATTGGGAAAGGGATTGTTCCATTTTTTTAATCAAATGAAATGACTTCTACTCCTCTTCTGGTTCAGAACAAAAAGGCTGGGGTTGGTGTTTCCTTGAAGTTACTAAATGGGAAAAAAATTTACCTTCATCTTCATTAGCCTAAAAGTTTGAAGATGTATCTCCCTTCTCCTTCCCCCTCACAGGCTACCATTGGCCTCATCCGTAACCTGGCCTTGTGTCCAGCCAACCATGCCCCCTTGCAAGAAGCTGCTGTTATTCCACGCCTGGTCCAACTACTGGTGAAGGCTCACCAAGACGCTCAACGCCATGCAGCTGCCGGCACACAGCAACCGTATACGGTAAGACGACGGGAAAAGGGGTTGGCATTCTTGCTGGGTGGAAGTTTTGAGAGGCCTCTTACTTAGGCATCCTGAAGAGTTAGCTGCTTTATTGACGGGAAAAGGGGTTGGCTTTGATGTGGCATTCTTACCGGGTGGAAGTTTTGAGAGGCCTCTTATTTAGGCATCCTGAAGAGTTAGCTGCTTTATAGGTGTAACTCTGAAATTGATGTCAAGTAGGATTTGGGATCCATGCCAAGAGATAGGCAACACCGTGGTTCCAGTCTCTCTCATCGCTCTTGTATTGTTCAGGACGGGGTAAAGATGGAGGAGATTGTGGAAGGCTGCACAGGCGCACTACACATTTTGGCTCGTGACCCCATGAACAGAATGGAAGTCTTCCGCCTGAACACCATTCCTCTCTTTGTGCAGGTGAGAGCATCTGAAAGGGGAGGGACGAAGCAAGCGGTGCTGTTAGAAACTGGTGCTTTGCTTTTATAAAATTAGCAGAAGATACAGAAGTAGACTTGGAGCACGAAAGGCCTGCTCCAAATCCCCTTTTGACCATAGCCAGTCGGCATCTCAGCCCATCCTAACATACCTTACAGAGGAGTTGTCATGATAAAATCATAGCTTTAAAGAAAAAAATAAAATAAAATTCACATAGTTACTATACTTTTCTGGTCACATTTCAAAATATCACGATAAGAGGAAGTCAAGTTACTTTACCAGTACCATTTTGTAGTTACCATTTATGTTCTTAAAAATAATTTTAGAGGCATTTTGACAGATTTTTTTCCAGCTTCGATCTTATTCTCTTATGAATTCTGAGGCTATTTCTCCCTTCCCCTCAAACTATACAAGGCAACAAAAGTGCAATGATCAAGGCAACACTTTTCTTTTTTAAATATTGTAGCATGTAAACAGCAAAGCAAAGCGTGCTGCTTATATTAAAATATTGTAGCAAGTAAACAGCAAAGCAAAGCAAAGCGTGCTGCTTATATACCGCCCCATAGCGCTTCAAGCACTCTCTGGGCGGTTTACAAGTTAATTATACAGGCTACACATTGCCCCCCCCCCCACCAGCAAGCTGGGTACTTATTTTACTGACCTTGGAAGGATAGAAGGCTGAGTCAACCTTGAGCCGGCTACCTGGGATTGAAGCCCAGGTCATGAGCACAGTTTTTAGCTGCAGTACAGCAGTTTAACCACTGTGCCATGAGCAAATTACTTTTTTGAACAGTGAGTAATGGGAGTAAGTTATTATTTTTTATCTTTGACTTTCCAACCCTGGATAAAACAAGGTCCCACTTCAGTACACCAGGCGAAGCCCCTTACCTGAAGGGGAAGAGAGACGTGTGGCAGAGGGGAAAACAGAGAGCTCTTTGCATACCTTCTTTGCCAGTAGTATCCTGGCCTCGTTCATCTTCTCACACTTCTTTTGTCACTTGGTTTGTGCTGGTTCTTGCTAGGCTTGCCATGTCATAATAATGTAATGTTTATCAGGCACCTGCAGCAGTAGCCACTGTACATGGAGCAAAGCTTTGTGGTCGGTGCCAGCAGGCTTACTATCAAGAGTAGATATTCTGTGTGAGGAAAGGAGGGGAGGGAAATGGAGTGGAATGGAACCTTTCCCTTGCTTATTCTCCCTTTGTTTAACTTGCCTCCAAACTGCAGCTCCTGTATTCTCCAGTGGAAAATATCCAGCGTGTGGCAGCCGGTGTGCTGTGTGAGCTGGCACAGGATAAAGAGGCAGCTGATGCCATTGACGCAGAGGGAGCCTCTGCCCCGCTGATGGAGCTTCTGCACTCCAGGAATGAAGGCACAGGTACAGCTGAGTGGATGGCCACACGCACTTCATCCTAGTCATCTTCTCCACAACAGAGAGCGGCTCTTAGTATCTGGGTGTTGTCCATTCCCACAATATGGAGTGGGGAGTTCTTGTCTCTCTCAGTGATCCCTCATTATGGGCTGTGCTGTGAGTCTGATGGGAGCAGTAAACTCTTGAGAACGGAAAGGCCGAAGTTTACCCTCCTCTGCTGTTTTATCTGTCTGAGCCACACTCTTATTAGTTTAATTACCTACTACTAACCCCCTCCAATATATATGTTAAATGTGAGTTTATAAATGTGTGGATGAAAAAAAGAATGGTTCAAGGCAGCATGTGCTATGCAAACTTAGGCCATGCCCTGCTGACTTGAATCTAGTTTCTAAAAAAGTGAATGTTAATGGGTCTGTTTTATTTGGACTGCTCACCAAAATGAGTTGAGGATTGACCAGAAGGAAGAGAAGAGGGTTTGCTAGTTAATGGTGAACAAGGAGACATTTTTCAGTTGAGATCCAGTCCTAGTTTATTCAGTGTTTTTGTTGGAGACAGAAGTTGGAGGAAACAATCTGATACAGCCATTAAAGGATCTAAATGTTACACAAGAATTAACTGGGTGATCTCATGAACTGGAGTAATAGAAATATGTGCCTAATGCAGGATAGGAGGTTGTAAACTTTGAAGAGGAGCCGCTGGGGTCCCTGGACCAAAATACGGATGAGGGAAGAAATCTGAGGACATTGGTTGTGAAATTACTGGTGCTGCAAGCTGCTGCTGTGGGAGGTCTATATAGCCAGCCAATTATTCAAGTCACTCGGCATTTTTTTTGTAAGGGTACCTAGTGGTATGGACAGAAACTTTGCACTGGTGGGATTCAGTGAATCAGAGCTGGTGCAAAGGTGAATGTGGGGTAGATCACATGTGGGGTAATCACAGAGCTTACAGAGTGACACAAGGAAGCTTCTCATTGAGAAGACTACTAGACTTCAGGGAGGAAGATCAAGGGCTGTGGGAATCACATACAGTGGTGCCTCGCTTAACGAGCGATTCGTTTAACGACAAATCCGCATAGCAATGTGTTTTTTGCTATCGCAAAAGTGATTGCATAACGATGTTTTAAATGGGAAAACATTGCTTTGTGACGATCGGTAAGCTGTTTCGCTTACCGATTTCCACATAGCGATGTTTTTTCTAACAGCTGATTGGCGGTTTCGAAATGGCCGCCAGGAAAAAAATGGCCGTCTGCAGTGTTTTCGCGCCCTTTCCTCGTTTACCGGGCAGCGAAAATGGCGGCTGTATGGAGGATTTCCGCATAACAGTGAGTTTTTTGCCCATAGGAATGCATTAAACATCTTTTAATGCATTCCTATGGGCTTTTTTGTTCCGCATAGCGACGAATCCGTATAGTGACAATTTTTTCGGAACAGATTATCATCGCTATGCGGGGCACCACTGTATTTCAATCTTTACCTGTTGTGGTGGTGATAAACGTCTTGCATACATAAAGGCAGACTGTCAGAAAGAAAGCCCTGCTGAAACGCTTCTTTCTAACAGGATTAGTTTACTATAAGCAGAGAGCTTATGGGTACATGTTTCCTTGGTGATAGTGGTTGAAGTAAAACTGTAACCTCTCTCACATGTGCCCCTGCCTGAAGTGGTATAGTCCACGATTGGCTTTACCACATGATTGCTGCTGGCAATATAAACTGGCTCTTAAAATGAAGGCAGGAACAAAGTTGAGAAGTAATGAGAGGAAATTAATGGACTCTGCACTTCTGCAGATAAGGAAGCCAAGGAGATTAAGTGCTGTACAAATACATCAAGGTGGTAAACATAATGGTTGCTAACGTATGTGAGTTAATGAAGTGGGGAGGTAGTTGTGTTTCATATATTTTTGGAGCTCTTTGCTTAAAGGACCTTGACATCTTTTGGCAGCTACGTACGCAGCGGCTGTGCTGTTCCGCATCTCCGAAGACAAGAACCCGGACTATCGCAAACGTGTTTCTGTGGAACTTACCAATTCACTCTTCAAACATGACCCTGCTGCTTGGGAAGCTGTGAGTGTGCGCCAGAAGAGGGAGGAGGTCCTTCTCTCTCACCTCCTAACCTTTCTTTAAAAACAACATTCTTCTGATAAAGCAATAGTTATTTTGGAAAGGACAAAGTGTGCAAGGGAAGACTTGGGAGAAGTTCTTTTTCCAAGTTCTGCTCTCAGAATCTTCCAAGCTAGCCTGGATTCTGACCAGCATTTTGAGCTTACAGCTTGTACTGCCAGTAACTAAGCCTTGAGAGAGAGAGAGAGACAACCCCAACCTTTTATCATGTGAAAAATCCCATGCAAAAGCCAATGGTGTCACTGGCCGTAGAGGGTCAGAACGTGACCGTGGGACTCAGCCCCAGAGCTTGAAGTCCCCCACTCCTGCCCTGAAACATCTTTGTCAGGGAGAGTTTTTCCTCCCCTCCCCCATGAAACATCAATGGGCATGGTCATAAGCTTACCTGAAGAGACGACCTGTAACATTTGTCCTGCCTCAATGGATGGATATCTCTTAAAGCTTTGGTTTCCAGCAAGCGTTCTAAAGAAACATGTTTTGTTTGTGTTACCCCCTTCTTTCCAAACCAGCATACGTGATGCACTAAAGATCGATCGATCGATCGTAAGTGAATCGTCCAACCTCTTTTCTTTTTAACTAAGCACCATCAAGCTGCTGAGAAGGAGGGGGTTTTGATTGCTTTCTCTCTTGCCAATTAAAGAATAAGCTTCATCTAGGGGAAGGAGTTCTGATGAGGGAAATGGCAGTGGATAAGGGATTTGCATTCCTTTTCCTCCTTCCCCACCTTTGTCAGTCAAATTCCTGGCAACTCCCAGGGGTTGCATTTCATTAAGGAAGACAACTTTGCAACATCAGTCACAGCCTCCAGGGAATTGGCACTATTCAGTGCAACTGGGACAGTAGCAAAATGCACAGTATCTGGCCAGCATCTCCATGAATGAAATGTACACCATTACCTTGAATTAAAGTACTTCAGTTGGATGTTTGTCTCACCCACAGTTGGTGTCTTTCAGTGATCTCTCCTCCTTATCTGGAAAACATGCTTTAGCACCTCATCTTCTGCTGATGGCTGATGCCTAATTAAAATTCAGGGTCAAGTAAATACCCTTACTGTACCACTGAAAGATCATTAAAAGGCAAACTCTCAAGTCCTCCAGAAACATCTCCTCCCCCTCTCCCCCACAAGTTGTGTAGTGCTCAACTTGGTGAAGAGCCCACTGTTTTTATGATATTAATGGCCCTGTAAAGGTATTAGACAACTCTGGTTTTATTTGAAAATTGCTTCAGTTTCTGAAGCAAAATTGTTGTACTTAGGAAAAAGCTGCAGAGTCCAGTGGCATCTTGAAGACTAACAGATTTATTGTATGTGAAGCGTTATCCAGTTATGAAGTGTTACAAACTTTACGCATAAGATGAAGTGGGCAATAGTCCATGAAAGCTCATCTTGTAATAAAAGTGACAATCGAATGAGCTGATTGCCAGGTAACTAGCATGTTAAGTCCAATAAGTCCAATATAAGTCCAATAAATAAATAAATGTTAAGATGAGAACATTACTGTCTTAAGTTTATCATGGGAAATTTGAGTTTAGAATGACTCCCCAGCATCCAGCTTATTGTGACTGCTTTTCTCAGCTTCAGCTTAGTTCATGGTCCCTGCAAAACTTCAGTCACTGTGTTTGTTGTACAAACAACCCCTCTGTCTTCTCTCCACAGGCCCAAAGCATGATACCCATCCATGAGCCCTATGGAGACGGTAAGTTTGTTTCACCAGCCTTATTCTTCAGTTGGGAATATAGTGAGCAAAGGAAGACCAAATTGCCTTTTCTAGACCTTGTATACACACAATAAGACATACGACTGAAGTATGCAGAGATGAAAACATCCATTAAAAATAAAGGGAATAGGGGGAAAGCCCTTGAAAACTGTGTTGGAGGAATATATTTTGTCCCTTTTGGCAAAAAGTGAGCAGAAAAATCAGCTTTTTTTCCTGAGGATTTTATTTGGTATGGGGTATGGGGGGTGGTTGGCTCGGTTTCTGTATTATCAGTTGTATGCCAAATGCTTTAGGTTTCAAGGAGATTGGTTTGACACAATATGTTGTTGTTTACAGCATGTTTTCTTATGAATTCTGTAGATCACAAAGTGGAGTGAATTACAGTAACACCATCTAAAGTTAAAGGGGTGATGCTGTGGAGTTTCTGTGTAATTGTCTTCTGGATTTCCTACATAGGTTTGTAGTTCTGACTATCTGACTTTTTCTCAAACATTAACCATGTATTACCATCTATGTTTGTAGTAGAATTAGATGGAGGTTATCGTGGCATGTACCCTGGTGAAATTCCCATGGACCCAATGGACATGCACATGGACATGGATGGCGACTACCCTATTGATGCATACAGTGACGGTGTGCGGGCACCCTATACAGACCACATGCTTGCTTAATGTGCCCCCTTGGGCAGGGCTTAAGGTAAGTGCATCCTGGGGTCTTTTTAGGAATCAGCCAGTTAATGAGACTCACACCTTCAAGAATCTTAGGTGTGAGGAACTTTTAGTTCCTCACCACATATACTCTTCAACCTTTCATTTACCACCAAATATGTACATCGCTTCCACGCCTCCCTGCACAGCCAACCACTCAGGAGCTGAGCAGGGAGACTCATCATCCTGCCTCCTCGCTGGAGTGGTTGGCAGCATAGGGAAGCGGGGAAGTGCTGGCCGGGCTGTTTCCTGGATTGGCATGATGGGAATGATACTGGCTGTGTGCACTGTGCAGTATGCAATATATGGACCTGCCGATCCAGGGGGGGCAGGGAGGGTCCAGTTTACCCAGGCACCTGTCGTGTTGATATATTCATATCCCCTGGGATAAGAATACAAATATCCCATGTCGTCTAATGTTTTTTTAAACAAGTGCACCAAATACTTACCCATAATTGTGTCCTTCGTGAATTTGTCTAGAAATAAACTCTGCAGTTCAATTTAATATTAGTTTCCATGTGCCTCTTCCAGAGCCACTTCTGGTAGCCAGAAAGGTTTTAGAAGCCATTTTCTGACATTTCAAAAGAAAAGATTTTAGGAACTGTCTTTAGATGATGCGTAGAAACCTTTCAGCACTGAAACATAAAGAGATTATTTAGGCGTACTGAATATATAGCCTGAACTGCACTGCGCAATAATTGTGTGTCATGCTTGTAGAAGACGGTTCTGTGCTTGGTTTATAGAATAATGTAGTTGAAAGAGGCCTACAAGGCCACCAAGTCCAACCCCCTGCTTAATGCAGGAATCCAAATCAAAGCAGATCTGACAGATGGTTGTCCAATTTTCTCTTGAATGCCTCCAGTGTTGGAGCGCTCACCACCTCGCAAGGCAATGGGTTCCATTGTGCAATATGTCATTCTCAGCAAAAGTTGTTGTTCCCTTGACAACCACTAGGAGACCCTGGAGAGCAATTACCAGTTAGGAACGGACTTTTCTGGGCTTGATGGAGAAATGCGCTAACTTGATATAAAGCAGTTTCCTGTATGCCAAAGGAAGTCTCTGTGTAGTACTGTGTGTTTTCTGTGTTCTGCCAGTGTAATCTCCTCTCTTTTTTTCCCCTTCATTCAACAGATGTTTTCTTAATACAGAAGAGGGCAACCACAGTGCTCAGATTTGGGGCACTCAGGAGACAGAAGTGCCTGAGAAAGATGATGACAAACTCTTCCTTTCCCTGTGAGGAGGTTTTATTTTCTAAAACAAAACCATTTTCTCCTGCTGTGGGCCTATGGGAAAGACCCCCCACAAACCCTGACCCAGGACTGCTTCTAATGACCTTGTCATAATTTTCTACTAGCAGTCCACTGCTTTCCACCTGTTCCCCACTGTGTTCTGACTTTAATGAAACCTCCCTTCTTTCTCCTTCCTCTCTCTTCCACTCCATCCCCACATCCTCCTTTCTACCAATCTGGGGGACATTTTCAGGCTGCCATGGGATCCTCATAAGAGGTCCCCATCCCTCCCACATACATACATTTTCAGTGTATGGTGCAAAGCCCATTTGACTAATCTTTATTTCCCAGCCTTCACATCTAAGGCTTGTAAGCCAGGAAATGAAGAAAAAGGAAAGGTTGAGGATTTCGAAGCAAGCAGTGGATATGAGTTTCCCAAGAAGCGAACACTTTTGCATTTCCTGGCATTTAATTTTATTTTTTTAGCTTTTCACCAATATGTCTGGGGGGCTGTGGTGCTCCAGTCAAGAAATCTTTGAGGCCCTCCAACAGCGAGAAACAATTAATCTACTGACCACCTTTGGCACATTTTTAACCCAAGCCCTCCTTTCTTTTCCCCTCCTTGCAACCTTCCTGGTGATTGGTGTGTGCTCTCCTTCTTCCCCTTCCTCTCTTGCTCCTTCTAATGCATTTTTAAAAGCGGCTCTTTCTCAATGCATCGGCTTGAGGCTTCCACTGGAAAAAGGATCGACGTAGCTGCAAATGTACTTCAGAAGATTTTATTATTATTTCTTTAAGGGATTTTTTTGTATAGACCAAAGCTAAAAAAACAAATAAAAACTTAAACCCAATCCTGCAATGCAAATGAACTGGTGCCTTTGTGAGTACATTAATGTGATAATCCTGGAGAGCTGGAGAGACAAATGAAGGAAAGGAGGATAGAGGCAATGAGAAGGACCCAAATTCACTTACAGATACTTGACACTAGTTCCATTGAGAAACTTCAGAATCATCAAATGATCAGCCCATCTACAGTGGGGTCTCGACTTACGAACTTAATCCATATTGGAAGGTGGTTCGTAGGTCGAAAAGTTCGCATGTCGAATCTGCATTTCCCAGAGGAATGCATTGAAAACCATTTAATCCGTATCTACTCTTTTCCGTCCATAGAAACTAATGGGAAGCTGCTATTCTGCCTTCTGCCACTAGAGGGGGATATTTTTTCTTTTTTCCCCCTTAGGTTCAGGAAAGGAGGGGGAAGGCAGGGAACAGTTTGCAAAGCACTTTAGAAATCTTTTTTTTTCACTGAAGCCAATTTTAAATCATGTTTTAAAGCATGTTGTGCTGATTTTTTCAGCACAAAGACACACAGGCAGGCTTTTTAGGTGCTGAGCCAGCCTCCCCAAGCCTCTTCAGAGCCACCCATCAGCTGATAGGCGGGGAGAGGAGGGTGCAGGAGCAGGGGAAAAGCACAAAATGGCTGCCAGGCTCCCTTCTGGTGTGGGCTTTTAGCTGTTTCCTGCTCTTTTTCCTGCTGTTTGGGGGCTACCAGGGCCTGGTAAGTGACTTTCTTTTATTTATTTTTAAGTTTCTGACCCTTTTTCCCCCTCCAGAAGCCTCTAAAGGGAGGGAGGGGGCACTTTTTTCCTGTTTGTAACTCGAAGGAAGTTCATATGTCGAGTCCTTATTTCCCCTATAGGGCGGGTTCGTAAATTGAATTGTTCGCAAGTAGGGTCGTTCGTAAGTCAAGACCCCACTGTATCTGTCTATTTATTCCATGCCCTTCCTCCGGTGACCTCAAGGTGGCATGCTGGCTGCTGTCCTCCACACTTTACCCTCACAGCAACTTTGTGAGGTAGGTCAGGCTGAGAGAAGGAGAGACTGATCATATATCATCTAGTGAGCTTTCATGGCTGAGTGGGAACTAGAGCCTGGGTCTCCCAAATCCCAGTCTAACACTAGCACAGTGGTTCCTAGTCTTGGGTCCCCAGATCTTTTTGGAGTACAATTCCCAGAAATCCTGGCCAGCACATCTAGCGACAAAGGCTTCTGGGAGTTTTAGTCCAAGAACATCTGGAGACTCAACATTGGGAACCACTGTTCTAGCAGCTACAGCATGCTGCCTTTCAGTTATTGAGTTTACTGTAGAGACTTAAAAGAGTTAAAAGCATTTAGTTAGCTGGCTTGGGTTTGGGCAGATTTTTATTGCAGAGACTAGAAATTTTGTTTTGTAATTCCTTATTTTGTACTATAGTCTCTTGAACAGAAATCCATGTAAGGTTTAGGTATTGAGAATTTTTTTTTGTTAAATTTAATCATTTCAGTTAAATGGCAGTCCAAATCCTGATATGGAAATACTCACTCTTGCTCACCTACTAACACATTAGAAAGGTGAGCCAGAGTGAATAGCTCTGTATCTGAAATATTTATTTCTTCAAGGTGGTTGCATTTAGCAAAGAAAATTCTGTCATGACCTAGAAGGGCTGTATAGCCCTTGAATACACTGGAACGTTTGATTACTTTCACTGAAAGCGGGGGGGGGGGGGGGACTGTCTGCATAATTTATAAACTTTATGCTGGCCCCTAATGAGCCATATTTTCCAGCAGGATAGAAGGACTTCTTTGGAATATCTTTTGGAATGGCTGGGCAGGGAGGGCAGTGGGTAGGGGAGTTCCTATCAACAGCATCAAGTAGTTTATTCACCTAGCAAGAAATGTGAGATGGAATGTACTCAGAGGCATTGATTTTCTACTGTAGAGTGAATTCTTTGGCCATGAGTGTAGAGCATGGCTGTGCTGCAATCCTGGAAAAAAGATGAAGAAACGTCAACATATTTAGACAATTTCTTCACTGGCAATGTACATCTATAGCCAATGTGAGCCATGCGCAGTCCTCCACCACCCCAGGATACATATGCTGCCTTTTAGAACCCCTATTTCCCTTCAGCATTCTTGTGCACACATTTTTTTTGTGTGGAAAAAAATATTTCACTTAGAAAGTTCTCTTGCACCTTCTAGGAGCCTTAGAGGCACTTTTTCTGGGTTTTAAGCCCTGCAATATCACTGGGAAGTCCACTCACAGACCATTAACAAATTGGCTAGAGGTTAGCAGGGGGCTTCTTTTTTAAAAATTGAAAATAAAAGTGGGCAGGATGTGAGTCATGGAAGCCGATGTGGCCCTTCAGAGTTCAGGGATGGGAACATGACCTCTGGAGGTTGTCTCCTCCTCCTCCTCACTATAGTACAGTAATATTAATGTGACAATAATTTTATTTTTTATTCAAGGTAAATAGCTATACACATAAAAATGCCTCAGAGCTAAAATGTCAAATTAAAAATTGTGGGTGATCACGGAACAAAGGAAGGCTAACTGTCTTAGAGACAGAACGAAGGAGTCAACAGCAGATGTCTGAGCCAGCGGAGCCTACTGACGACGCCCTGAGAGCTCTTTTATTTACTTAGCATGATTACATAACATGTTATGAGAGAAACAGATAGGATACTAGTTACCTAATCGTAACTAGGATTGGCTAAAAGAACCCTTTGATTTTATGCTCTACCTCTAAGCAAAAGGGCAGAAGAAGGGGTTACCCAGCCTGCTGCCAGCTGCCGCTTCCTGCCAGGAGTGTATGCAAGTCACTGGAACAGAATGCAGCTACAGCCTTTAAGCAGAAGTTTCCCACAAAAAATATCTAAAAATTTTAAATTCCAGATATCTAAAGTCATAATATATACTGGAACTTTAAAAAATATCTAAAACTAAACCTCTATGAATTATAAAAGTGCAAACCCACAGACATGCTTGCTTTGCATAACTTGTTCCACACAGAGATTTCAAGGTCTGGATAAAACAGGAAAAAAATAGGAAATTTGGACAGCATATGAAAATCCATATGTTGTTTCATATGTTCTCTTTTGAAATTAGTCAAATGCTTTCTAAGACAAAGTTTAACCATTTAAAATGCCCAGGAATGGCATAGTAAGAAAACCTGCCTGTCAGTTTAAGAGTTAGAGAAGAATTATTTCTACGTCTAACAGATGTGGACATGACGCAGAAATCCATGATATGCTTCTGTAGTGGGTGCTGCAATCCATTTAATAATACTGACTGAATTATGGATTAAGAATGTAAGTTGTTCAAACAGGAAAATAAGCTTGAGGATACACTTCTCAGTTCCAATTATGCTGGGATGAGGGGCACCAGACCCCTGTGTAATTATGTGTATAACTCTTGTGGCCCCAAAGATGTAACTACAAAGTGTAAACAGTTAACACCCATACATACACCTCCCCTGACCCTCGTCAGCCTTCCAGGATGCCGCAGCATCCTCATGGAATCATCACAACAGGGGAGGGGCAGCCAGGCCACTACCAGCAACAGGGCCTTAGATAAGCCCGCAACTCACCTTTCTCAGGCCACTTCATGGAAACGAATACAGTAGCAGCACAGTATGAGTTTTTTTTTAATTTCTTGAAACATTCATTTATAGTGAGAGGAGTGTATAACTAAAACTGCAGCTCAGATCTGCAATTCAAGGGTGAAGTGTGCTGTGAAAATCGTACGTGTTTCAGTTTTTCAAAAAAAAAATTCAATTTTTCCCCACAGGGAACAGAGTGGGACAGAGAAAGCCATTCCCCTTCTGGCTTCAAAATTACCGGGACTATTACATCTCTAAACCCATAACACCTTTTGCTTCTGAAAACACCTAGATCAGAACATCTGCTTTGACTTTTGCAATTTTGTCTGTTATTTTCCCCGTGCCCCCATCAAAACACCTTGATGGCCACAAGCCTGTGTCCTATAGCAGTGGGAATAAAAGTGACTCCATACTTCTCTAGGCAGCTGTCAAGATTTTGTCAGAGAAAGTGCCAGTGTACTCAAGGCAAAATGTGAGGCACACACCTCTGCTCCGCAGTTGCATTTGATAAACCTCTCTGTATATGAATTAGTGAGCGGCAGCTAGCTAAGGATATGGTTCTTGCCCTCCAGATGTTTGGGGCTGCAGCCTCAGCTAGATTGTCACTGGGAAGAAATGGTGGGAGTTGCAGCCCCAAACATCTGGAGGGCTCCTATTTGCTTGTGTTAAGGTTGTTGGCTACAGGAAGTAAAAGTTACCAATGGCAAACATAACCTGGAAACTCTGTGGTACCTTTATTAGACCACCAGAATTTCACCCCAAAGCTGACTTCTGAGTCCTGCAGGGGACCTTCATCCTGCATCATCCTTCATCAGGCTGGGAATTATAGAGCCAGGGGGCATATTTGGGGCATTTGTGTTGCTTTCCCCCCCCCCCAACTCACTCCAGCTCAGTAATGCCCAGCCTACTGAAGGGTCCTTCATGACTCCAAAACTAGTACTTGTCTGTGAGTTTTTGGTGATCTAATGGAGATATTAGCCACCCTGATTTTCAGACCAAGTGCAAAGACTACATAGGGGATTGGTTTGTCTTTCCCACAGCAAACATGTTCCTGTAAGTTACAGAAGCGAGGTGTATCCTGCGTTGTCTACATCAGTTGGTATCCTGTGCTGTAAAGTGGCACCTTTCCCAGAGATTGGTGTGTTCTCTCTTTTCCCTAGTCCCCCTGCTCTCCGGCAAATTTACCCACAAGAATTTTCAGTACCAGCACTTGGAGAGGTTAATTTTTAAAAACTAAAATTTCCAGAATCATACATGGGAGCATGGGAGATGGCTTCTGAGAGTTGAATCCCAAAAAAGCAACTTTTCTAAGCTCTGGCCTGTTGTGTAGCAACCAAAGAGCCTCCTGTTGTCTTATCATTTTGCTTCGCAGGCAGCTTCCCAGTCGGAGTAAAATGGGCGAATAGAGCAAAATTAACATAATGTAAATT